GGGGGGAGGAAGCCTTGGAATAAAAATAATGGGATCATGGTCCAGTTCAATGTGACCCGAAAATGAACCAAGCTTGATTACTATTTCTTAAACTCTTTTTAAATTTGAACGAGGTCATGACCTTCATGTGTATTTAACGCTGTTTTAGAGAAGTTTTTTTATATCAAATGGCAGGCGTTTTAAAAGTTATCATTAGCCTTTAAGCTGACTTCGGGCTTCACAGAGGAGAGGAACATCAAAGCGATAAAAAGCCGAGAGAGGAATAGAAGAATGAATCACAGATTCAAAGGCGACAGACACAAAGGCAGAGAAAAGGTAAGATGAGTACTGTAGTAGGGGTCAAATATGACATACAGTCCGGTCATGGTAGTTTGAAGTGAGAAGTCAGCTGCCGGTCAATAGACTTTTTTGCCGTATGAGTATACGTTGCCCAGGGTGCACCACGTGAAGGTAAGTCTATCGCTCACCCCAGTTCCTGAGAAGTAGAGGGTGGGGGTAATGACTGCGAGATTTTTAAAATTGCAGATACCTTGGCATTATCCTTTGTCGCTTATCCAGTAAAATTGCTCCTTTCGATGTATGACTCATTCCATGATCTTGAATGCGATACACGATTACTTTCACTTCATGGCTAATTTTTTTCAATTAATTTCGCAGATTTGCCAAATATGCCGTTATTGAACACCTGTCGCAGCCCACAACTGCGCTGAAACTATTTGAAAGAACAATGCATTAATTAATATAAATTCGTGATAGATATAAAGGCGGAGAAATGGAATTATCTAACACAAAACATCTGCTAAAATTACGTTATTCTATTTGAATTTAGCAAGGCAATCAAAGTTTTTACTGGGAATGAGTATGCGGAGAACACGACAGTAATATGATTGGATAAAGAAATCGCATATGCACCCAAATAAATCTGGAAGATGTGGACGTGATGCTAGTCTCAGTGGGGAGTAAGTACGTTCGTGAGTACAGTGTCTTCCCAAACAAACAACAATCAATAATTATTGCGTGGTTAGCGTAGACAAAATTACATTTTAATGACGAAACTCTGTATCAGTGATATTTCTTTCAAATGGCAGGCATTTTGATAGCTATCATTAGCCCTTTAGCGGACTTCAGGTCGCACAAAGGGTAAGGAACATCAGAGTGAAAAAAGTCGAGAGGGGGGGGGGGTGGAAAAGGCGATTGTTTCAAAGAAGTAAAAGAGACAGACACAAAGGTATAAAAAAAGTGAGGCGAATAATGCGGAAGTAATCAAATACGACATACAGTGGGGTCATGGTAGTTTGAAGTCAACTGCCGGTTAATAGACCTTTTTTGCCGTATGAGTATACGTTGTCCAGGGTGCACCACGTGGAGGTATGTCTATCGCACACCCCTTATCAGTGATATAGAACCACAATAAAGGCTGTTTACTTCATGCGCACTGTTTCATCAATAGTTTTGAGTAGCTAATTTTGGGGGGTTTATTGAAGGCTTATTTGTGCAGCATACGCCACAAATATAGAGCTATCATGCTTCGCAATAGGTTTCTGAATATAAGTTCAAAATATCTAGTTTTATTCAAACATATTTGCTTAAAAATTACGTGAACTTTTAAGGTCAGGCATATCATTTCAACTTACCAACCTTCCATCCTGATCATGAGTAGCTCCCTGCGTGTACACACTTGATCTGCAATATACGTCCTGAATAAACGTGCTCTGTGCTACACGTCTGTTTCCTTGATAGCTGGGCTATGGCTTAGCTGGTTCTGGGAGTCTAGCTAGATGTAGGAAGATCTGCCATAGAGATTTCTGAGTCAGTCAAGCTTTAATAAAGTAGCAATCCTCCACAGGTGTGTCCGCAAGCCCGCGCTTTTTAGATAAAAATCAATACGATTTATAGTCGATAATTTGGTGCAGTTACAGTCTCTTTTTTTTCTATTACATTCGTCTCATCCGCTTAATTGTGGACAAATGACTACCTTGAATGACTACATTTTGCTTTGATTCATACCAAAAACACAAAATGATTTACAGTAAGTCAACAATTGAAAAATAAGTAAAAGTGTAAAAATAATGCAAGATGTTACATTTTAGAGTTGAACTTTTCACGCTTAGTCAATTTAATCAGGATGCCTTATTAGTGATATGGTCAGGAGGTAGTCTGTTTGGCATTCATAAATGAAATGACTAATGAACTTCCAAGATATCAGTCTTGGATCTTCACGGAATTCGTGAATTAAAGTATGTGCGGGCCGACCACTCGATTGGAGCTCATATTTTACAAAGGTAATAGGAGAAATTATACTAAATTCGATATTTACTGGCTGGTCCTGGTGTATCAGTTCATTATTTTTCAATTTTGTTGAAAAAGCTGATGATCTTATGGGATATTCCGCGGCTTGCAGCTTCAGCTTAGCCGAAATAAGCTAAAATTTTAAGTTAACAGGACTTCACGGCAGTTTTGTAGCGGATTAGCTACCTCAATAACCTTGACTACTCTCAGAAAGCTCTATAGCAGTTTCTTCCAACTCGAAAGTCCCCGGGAATTAGCTAAGCTAAGACAAAGTTATGAAGGAAACTGACGTGTTGCACGGAATACGTTTATTCAGTACGTATATTGATAGCGAAGTGTGTTTTTGGCATAGCGATTAGTTATCAGATAAATCTAGCATAATTCGCGTGAACATTAATAGTTAAATATCTCTGAGTAGTGTTCTGTAGCAGGATTTCTGTTGGTGTGATGAAGTTTCCCACAGTTTTCATGCAAGGAGACTCACGTAAATAAATATAACGTACAATCGTGTTAAAACTAGTATTTGTTGTAGTGAAAGACTCTTATCAGATTTTGACTATGCTTTAGAAAGTCTCATGAGTAAACTGTCACACAAATGAATCGAGGTGACATGAACAAGAAATTAATAAAGCCGGATTGATTAAACACCTCTGAAAATTGAGCTTCCCAATTCAACCAGGAGTTCGATGACTATAAAGTGACAGTTGAAAATCGATTATTGCGGAGGGAATAATGGCTTCCATGGGAAACTGAATAACTCCATATTTTCTGAATCTCTCGTCTCATTTCAAAATTTATTTACTTAATTGGACCATCGCATCATTCCAGGTGTTCAGTTGCAGTCAGATTATTCAAAGTTGCACAACTTTTTGATCGATATGTCTCGAAAAAGAATTGCACAACTAACTTTAAGTCTGTTTTGGATTTTAGATACATTACGGAAGACATCTTCAATTTGTCAGCTGCGTGAGGTTCTTGCCCAATCGTTTACTTTTAACAACTCTCTTTGCGAATTAATCTATTTAATCTGGGGTGTGTGATGGACTTACCTCCACGTGGTGTACCCTGGGCAACGTATACTCATGCGACAAAAAAGTCTATTACCTGGCAGTTGACTTCAAACTACCATGACTCCATTGTATGTCATATTCGACTACTTTCACATTAATCATCCCACCTATTTTTCACCTTATTTACCTTCGTCTTTGATACACTCTTCTGTCCCCCCCCCCCTCTTGAATTTTATACACTTTGATGTTCCTTCCCTCTGTGAAGACTGAAGTCAACTAAAGGGCTAATGATAACAATCAAAACGCCTGCCATTTGATATAATAATAATAATGTATTCAATCTCGATCACTTCTCCTTTGTCTGAGTTGTGACATTGAAGGAAATCATTCGTCTGACCTTCAAAATTTCCGAATCATAAAATGCTTACACTTCCGTGATTCCCTCTTTTTCTAATTACTGATTATACATAACCAACTATTTACTCAGATGAACATCACTCGGGTTAGTGATTTTTGTAGCCGTTTTATATTTACGCATATATGCATAGAGCTCTACTGTTGTAAGACCATTAATAATGATCAAACTCAAACCAAAAAGGAGAGAGAAATGAACACAAGGCGTGAAAGGAGAAGTAAATTTTGGTTAGGCTTGGAGATGGAGTTCTGGCTATAAGAGATCCTGAAGGAGGCGAAGAGAAGGGAGGAGACCGGGGTGTGGGGGAGGGGAGAGGGAGAGGAACTAGTGTTTGAGAGGACAGAAAGCGCACTAGAAAACAATGTAAGCGGAGAGGCACATAGTTAAGTTAGGCACCCGAAAAGTGCATTTTATAAGGGTAGTAGACAACTGGCAATCGAAAGTAGAACTTGCACTCGAATGTCGATCTCGAAATGTTGCTACTCGAAACTAAATATTGTTGCTGTATAGGCAGGCAGGTGAGATTAAGCTGGGTGGATCGGAAGGTTGGGTTTCAATCTAGAAAATGAAGAGAAAACAAGTTACACGATTCGCCCAAATCCGACGCCAATTTCTTTTGTCACAACGCAAAAGACAACGTTAATGTTGCGCATAAGCTTGCAGGAGAGAAATCACCAAAGAAATTAAAAGTAATTTCCGATTAGGTACATAAATTAATGATTTTAGATTTATATTAGCTTCAATTAATTGGTAACTTATTTAATAAGAGTAAAATACACAAATTAATTAATTAATTAACGCAGTCTTCATTCTGATATTTGAAATTAGATCATCATTATTAAAATAAATATACTACCAAGGTTAGAATGACAAATTCAAAGATCGAGCCAAAAAATTCAATTCTCGTTTAATCTATTGATTATTTGAGACGGCACAAAAGACATGCACGAAATTGCATGCTAGATAGATAGATAGACAGACAGACAGACAGACGGACATACAGACATAAAGTTGAACAAGTAGGGCGTACCTGAGAGTAGAATGTGCACATGCAGCTTGAGGGACAAAAAAGGAGGTTCAATTTATGGACCTCCATTTTGGCTAGCGCAGGGTGGTGTTGTAAGACGGAGGTGGTCTGTTCGCACCGGACACAGCGCATGCGAGTCACATGCCGGACCTAAAAGGGGTGGGGGGGGGGGGNGGGGGGGATGGTAGGGAAGGATTTGGGAGAGGTCTATTGCAGGGGAGATCTATTATGACTAGTTTGATTTTAGGGAAAGTCTACTTCAACCTTAATTTTTCAGCACAGATAAGCCTGCTATAATTCTTGATTGAGATCGATAGAGAAAGCGAGTGAGAACGAGAGTGAGTGAGTCGAATTCAGTCCGTTCGAAATGAAAAAAATCTATACGGCTCTGGGAAAATTGTTCAGTTCCCGCGAGCTTCTTCCTGATTTCAATAGGGGAATGTCCTGAGGTTGAATGTCGTCACTAATACACGGAAGAGGAATGACTTCGTCGTTTTGAGTGTATGATTATATAAAAGTGAGATTCTTTGTTTGGGACAAAATGCAAAAATATCGAAAGCGGAAAAGCAAAAAAAAACAGTATGGAATTGCATTTCATGTGACACATCTTTAGCTGGGTAGTTATTTACGAAAGGAATGATTGATTTGAAGAAATGATGTCACTTCTCCACTTGGATTTCTGGAGAACGAGACATGCACAGCTAACAAAACCCTCTTCATTTTTTGGCGATTATTATCGAAAGATCACTTTGCAAAGGGATAACGACTTAATGCGAAAATGAATTATCTACTTTTGTTCCGGTGGGTAGTCGAAATCGGAAAATTGGACTATTTCGAAGTCATCTCCAGCCTCCTGTTCTTGGATTAGACAGGGATGACCTTCTGTCATGGTTGGTGTAGAAATGTCTTTAGGACTGAATGGTTCAGCCATGGGGGTTATAGGAGAGGAGATCTCTGGTATACCTTCAACAAATTTATCACGAATGAGAATGGGCGAGGCCGAGAGACTCTTTAGAGGACTTTCTACCATGGAGTATTCAAGACACACTGGACCTTTGAATTCATCTTCAGAGATATCGAACACTGTCGAACCGAGATTGGAATCAGTCTGAGACGTTAGTGGTTGTTCTTGTGCTAAATTTAACGATGTGATACTCATTGAAGCAGGAAGGAGTCTATACTGTACATCTTCGTCTGTATCCGCTTTCTTCAACAAAGCTTCATCTTCACTCGTAGAACGAGGGAGAGAGACTTGAGGCAATTCACTAGATTGTATCGGAACTGGCGGAGGACCGGGAATTAGCATAAACAGAACTTCTGATTGCGAAGGTGGTTGAGTCGAAGCTCTACTACCACTTGCCATTGCTGCACCACTATCTTCTAAGGAATCGGTCATTTGTCGATTGTAGTTAGGTTCATCTGACAAAGAACTATCGCCCCATGGTCCTTGTTGGCTATGTTGTTGAACACCGTCAAGAGAATCAATGGATGTTTCCATAATCTGAGGAAAATCTTCTTCCGAAGAATCAGCTTCGCCCAGGGAGTCACGATCTCTGGGATGCCCGCGTTCAATTGCATCACGAGCACCACGGATAACACTTCGAATCAAATCAGTAGGAAGAACTTCATGATGACTCAAACTGCCAGCGAGGGAATCATGAAGAGATGACTGTACTAGAGAATCAACGTCGCCGGCTATTTCAGAAGAATCAGTGATTCTTGAGGTTTCAATGCTCTGACACATCTGTTCCGCTAGAACATCTTCATAGATTGTATCAATAGTTTTGTGAGCTAGAGCGACAAGTTGGGTATCAATAGGTTGCTGATGAACTGATTCTTGGCTGCTAGCACATTCTTGTTCAACACGGAGGAATTCAGAAAGAGATGACTGTGAACTGTCACCAACAGCTTTTGCTACACCCGATGGTAGTTCAGCACTGCTTCCTGAAGAACTTTTAGCCATTTCAGCCTCAATTCTTTCAAATTCAGAAAGGGAGCTACTTGTTTTACTGCTTGAACTCTTCTTGACTTCACCAGAAGACTTTTGAAGTGAGTCTGGTGAAGAGTTTGCCGTTATTTGCTGCTCTAATAGTTCAAATGCTGCAAGTGATGACGATTGGCTTGATATGGCCTCGGTTTTCGAAAGCACGGGCTCACTTGTGCCTGGATCGCATTTACGGGGGAAGCCTCTAAGTCGGCCTTTTTGAGGAAAGTAGATACCGCTTGACGTTGAACGCTCCAACATGCTCGGAGTGGATGCGGTATCAGCAAGATGTCGGCTTCCCGACGGTTTCTCGTCAATCACTTGATCTGTGGATACTGCACTGGCTAGTCCACTCTGTCCATGAGTTGAAACATCTGCTGTTTCTTTTGAAATATGCGGTAAACTGCCAGCAGTGGAAATACGACTTTCATCCATGAGATTCAAATCAGATTCTAGAGATTCTGGAGTAGTTTTAGTGGCTCCATGGACTCCTTCAGTTGCACTTCCAACTAGTATTACAGTTGCTTGACTAGACTCTTCAGTAGTATCGGTGGCTGTTGTGGTAAAGGAACTTCTCTGAGAGGAGGCGGATAACCAAGAGAGCGATTGTAGCTGTTTGTGATATTCAGATACAGGACGAGAATGAGACTGTGACACCTCTTCTTCCTCCTCTTCTTCATCTTCATGAGCTGGAACCAGTTTCAAATCGGCCGGTAGTTCTTCTTCATTTAAAGAATCGTCATCATCTGGCGACAACGGGCCTGCAACTTCTGGAATCGTTGGAAGACCACTTTCCAGGCCTTCGATTAACAATTTCGGTCTTTCGTCCTCATCTTCCTCTTCTTCATCTTCCAGAATGACTTCCTCTGCTATCTGTTCTTCCACCTCCTCACTCTCTTCCTCAATATCTCTACTCATTCCACGTTCAACATCACAAAGACGTGGCGATGGCTGTGAAACTTGCTGAGTTCCCAAACCATAGAACTTTAGTCTTGAAAGAAGTTGAGATGAGCGGTCTAGTGTGGCTTCAGGTGCAGGGCGGTGTCTTGATTGTTTCATTGACATTGACTTATATCCATAGTCTTCCTCATTGTCTTCGCTGTCATCACTATCTTCATTGTCTGAGGCATATTCTGCAGCTAATGTGGCTCCAGCAGCGGCTGCAAGTTGAGATAAGTAATCCCATCCAGACTCTGGTTCCTCCTTTACTACCGCAACTTTTCCTTCAGTAGGTTCATTCACGATCGCTACTTCCATCTTCTCTTGCACTTGTTTTGCGCCCTCCTCTGAACTTGATGGTGAAATAATGTAGACGTCTAATTCACCGCTACTTGTTGGTGGTCCCTCACTGGTGGGTACAATCGCTGGAGAGGACAGACTTTCGATTGGGGAGGAAACATCAGATACCATTGCTTCACTACTTACTGGAGCTGAGGAAATGGGGGCTAAGGAAAGAAGATTCATTACTTCGGCAGATGGCTCAATCACCGATTTGCTTGGACGAATTTCTGGAGCTGATGCACCGAAACATACGTGATCATGTGTAGCACTACCATCCTCACCACAACTTCCTCCTTCTAGTTCTTTTGCTTTCGGACGAGGTAAAGAAGCATATGATGGAATGAGATCGGTTTCTGAAAGTATAGGACGATCTGATTCACAAGTATGTACAAATGATCGTTGAGGTGAGGCGCTCAAAGTTGGTTCAGGTAGGGGCACAATGAGTGACACATTAGGAAATGGAAGAGGTGTCTCAACTCCGTGGTCCATCAATACAACTTCTTCCCATACCACTTCTTGTGTGTTTGCAGCATAGAATAAACGTGGAGGTACTTTTGGTCGAATTTCCAGAGACGAACCGACCAAAATTGAAGTCTGAGGTGGCGTTTCAACGCTCCCAATCATGCTAGGCAATGACGGATGAGATGAATGTTCAATTAGACACTTCTCCGCAATGACAATTTCTGGCAAGTCGACACTTTTCTGGGTTGCCGAATATGATTCTACATGTTCAGAGTCGGTGACAGCAAGATGAGTGGCAGAAGTCAGGTTTTCATCGGAAACTATAGGCTTTGCTATCTCAGATGTTGATGCACGAGAAAAGACAATGGGCAACTCCTTTCCTGATTCATCAATATAGATTGCAGCTTCTGATAGAGATTCTTTCGAAACACCTGGCAAAGCAGAGAGATGGTCCTCAGCTTCCACACTAATAGCCTGCTTTGGTGATGGTACAGGGGGAAGAGATTTTACATTTGATATCTGCTCTTTTGTACTTTCGGTAAGACCAATATGAACATCTTGGTCCAATTTTTCAGGATGAGAATACGTGGCTTTCACTGGAGCATATTCAAGAGGTTTAGTCTGCTCGGGATATAGTCGGTCATTGTGAGTTAAACCGAGATACAGTGGAACCGAACTCTTGGCCTCCACAGTTTCAGCGATTTCCATTTCTATAGGGTGCGACACCGGAACCAATAAGTCAGAAACCGGAAGTAAAGGAGGCGTAGCGGTTGTCTTGAAGTGCTCCAAATCAGAGACTGGAATACATATTTCCGAAGGCATTTCTTCTGAAACAAGTAGAGCTGATTCAACAGGACGAGTATCACACATATCATGAACGCGATTGGCAATAGAGGCCTCTGAGAAAGCAGAACCAACAACTTGGCGTTCATCAACGCATTCAACTTGAAATGGGTGAGCATATTCAACAGAAGGCGGAAAAGGCAAATCTTGCGACGATGCACGTAAGACACCTTCATCAACATGAAGAAGAGGGCAAGCATCACGACGTTCAGAATCCATCGCATTCAATGGACTAAATTGAACTGATTCCGGACAAATAGAGGCGTGATCCGAACATTCAAGAGAACTAACATCCTCAGGAACACATGAGGGATTAATTGCAGACAAAGAGAAAGAACCCAAAGAAGTTATTTCAGAAAAACCAGTTCCACCAGCAAATTTAGCATCAGAACAAACAAGAGAATAGTCTTGGGAACTAAGCGCTTCTGTTGGTAACGATTCTACAAATTCATCCAATGCTGCAGCCTCAAATACAGCTTTGGATTCGACTTCCTCAGCCTCGGCTTCACTTACCGACTCAGCTACACCTTCTTCAACTTTAGCTTCCACTTCAGTCTCAACTTTA